TATATTTTAATACTATTTAAAATTTTCAAACAATATTGGAAAAAAAATGTTTGTATTGTAATAATATCCATGTACAGTGAATTTAAATTAGCTCAATTTTTCTTTGGCTTCATTTGACACATTATCTTTATCTTTATCTCTCTCTCTCTCTCTCTCTCTCTCTTCTAATCTTCTTTCACTATATAATAATACTAATAAACACCGTGTAATGTCAAAATGAAAGGCTAAACTTTACATTATACAAATTCAAAAATATCTACCTTATTATGCCATCTAAATAGAAAATATTTATTAAAAAAATTTCTAAGTACTTTAAATTTATGTTGCAAAACGATTTCATTATGAAATATGTATTACTATGTAGAAATATAAAACATACATACTGTGTATAAATATAGCTTTTATAGATAGAATTTAACTTTTCTCAACGATCTCCGAATATAAATATGTGAATATAAAAACAGTAGTGAGTTGATCGTACTTTTCATTTCACTTCTCCTCACAAACATTCCAAATATTATTTACAAATAAAAAACTTCCCATAAAAGTATTCATGTACGTTTAGATCGATGTATTTACCTAATGATTAATCAAATGTTAATTTACCTGTATTATTATAAGTACAAGTACTATGCGTGAATGGGATTAGTTAATTTTTTTAATTTGTGTCAATTTGGCTCAATCGATAAAATTCATGAGAAATAAAAAATTGAAAATATTGCGATTTAGTTGCATTGTTGATAGATATTAAAAAAAAAAAAAAAAAAAGTAATTATTACTTATAAGTAATAATTAATACGCGAAGAATCCAAATTGTTGAAGCCCGTATTTAGAAATTAAACAATATTACAATATTACAAATTAAATTGATATTTTCCTACATTACTATTTATAAGTTAAAATAATGCCCGACATGTCCGAATGTACATATCCCAATTATAATATATTGATACTAATTACAAATGTATTCGTTTCATTAAAGTATTTTGTAAACCTTATAATATGTAGAAATACAAATGATTAAACACGATCGTAATGTAAAATATTACATTTTCTTCTCTTTCTATAATCTAACTTTTACTTAGTAAACCAATAAAATGAATGAAGAAAACAAAACAATATTTTCTTATTATGCTTGTTGGTTATCTATCTGCCGTGTATTCGCAAATAGATTGAAAAAGATTTCAATATTGATTCATATATATATATATATATATATATATATATATATATAAATTCTGCAATTAATTAAATTATTTACATGTATAATGGTAGAAGATTAAATAATAATTTGGAATGTATACCAAATGAAATTAATTAAATAAAATCTTGACAGGCTTCGGCTTACTACTCTCTAATCTCATACAAATTAACATCTTTTAGATATTTTTGCCGACATTTAAAATAATCTTCTTTAATGTTTGTGGTATTTACCGTTTACGATTACGTAAACAGGCAAATGCTTTATTGATACATGAATACTATGATGAGCGTACTTGGGAGGTCATAATTATAATGACAGTCTCGTTTGTTTGTTCTGATTCTTGTATCAATGAAACTATAGATATATCAATAATAATAAATTTCTCTCCCTCGGATTATCATGGCAAATTTACAAATGAATAGGAAAAAAAAAGAAAAAAGCATGAAAATTATATGCGTGAAGAACAATGTTTGCATAATTGGACAATTGATAGAAATTTCTTTTAAATACTAGACAAGTAAAGATTGAAAGAAAAATAAAGAGAAAGTCAATAGCTATTTATGTACTCACGGGAACGAATGGATTCGTCTATTTAACTACCATCTTCGAAAATATTTGTACATTAAAACGTGGGACACACATTCTCTCGCGTTCGAATTATCGTTACTTTTATTTAATTATGCAGCTATGGTACAATGGTATCGTAACCGCAATGTCTCGTCACCCTTTTTCTGCTTTCGCATATTCTTTTCTCTTTTCTTCCTTTGTTGACAAAAACGTTTAACTACACTTCCATGTATTTCAGATTCATATAAATTAGCTGGTTAATTTTGTAAACTGCATCTGCTATTACAGTTAATATACTGGTTCGCCTATAATAATAATAATAATAATAATAATAATAATAGCGAATGGAGGTAATACGAAAAGGAGAATATATAACGACGAAGGGACGAATTTTCTTTTTAACTTATCATCACTCGCGATTATGTGCTTTTTCATAACGCTCGTCGCTAATAGGAGCGCGGCGATTTAATCTCTCACTTTATTTATTACGTTCTCTCCTCCCTTTTCCTATATAATTCAAAAGTAATGCGCAATGAATTCGACATGCCGTCGAAGGAAGCTTAAGTTTAATCGAGACGATTCACTCGGCGGCACTCGAATAATGCTCACTCACTCACTCACTCTCTCTGTCTCCTCCTCTTCCTTTATTCCCATTATCTGTCATTTAAAAAAAAAAAAAAAAACTATGTAGTCGCGATTAATTTGCGTTTACGTGATTTATTAGCGTTAACATTGAAGAAAAATATAAATTCAATCGGGCGCTCCTAAGCGCGACGTACTCACGATTACTCGATAAAATAAAAATTCGTCAAGTGCTGGGGCGCGCAAACACGCTGCTCATTATTTTAAAAAGAACGAAAGAGAACAAAAATAAAAATAAAAATAAAAGACTTCGCATCGCTCTTTTTTTTTTTTTTTTTTTTTCATTTGAAATTGTCGCGCACGCTTTATATATTCTTATTTGTCGCACATTTAAATAAAAAGTATACAATTCGATCGCGCATACGCATGTGTACGTGTGTGTTTGTGTACGCATGTGTATGTGTGTTTATACGCTTACAACTGGAAAAATTACGCTCGAAACAGGGAGATTTCTCGTGGGATCTTCGAACTTCGTCGCGTATTTTTTATTTTTATTTATTCTTTTTTCTTTTTTTTTTTTGTATCTGTATTTTCTTTTTTTACCATATTTCACTCATTAATAATTGTGTTCGTGAAATTTCATTTTAATACACAATTTCATACGTCCATAACATCGCTGTTATATTTTTATACATTGCAGTTCGTCAAAAAATATACAATAGAACATTCAAATCGTCTCTCTCGTTTACTGATGGATGGGTATTACAATTACAATTAACAAGTAAATATATGTGTCGAAAAAAAATCATTATTTTTTAGTCTCGAACAATAAAAAAAGAAAAACAAGGTAAATTCATCGTGCGGAGTGTTTGATCGTGTTTGCGCTTATCTCTCACGTCAAAATACAGTATTCATACTTTTGCATAAATTGCATCGTTAGTTTTCGTGTCCATTTGTTGAATTCGCCAACGCATTATCATCAATCTTCCCCGATTCTGAAATATGCCCGAATGTCTAAAAGTGTGTATAACAACCTCTCCGCATTACGTTTACAATATTAGCGTTAATAATAAAATTGTTCCTTATTTCATAACTTTATACATGCTATGTATAATTATTATGCAATGTTAAAGTCATACATTACTCATCCACACTACCCGCCGCGAGCGTCGCATTTAAAACATTCAAATGGTGGTCAACAGACAGGCGAGCACTACTTCAGAAGTACCAGAATTCGCTACACATGTTCTTGGTTGATTTGATGTACATTTATTTTTATTTTACTCTATTATCATTAACTTTATGTTTTCTCGCAGTGTTGTCCGCATGCACCTTGTGGTTTCCTGTCTGCTGGCATTTCACCATCTTCATCATCGAATTTATTTGCTTATCGCGCGTGTGTCAGCTCTCTCGTGTATTTTCTTTTTTTTTCAATCGTTTAATTACACATACCATTTTGCCGGCTAAACGACAATTGACAATAAACAGAAAGAGAAGATAAGAACGATTTTTTTTAGAAAAAAAAAAGAAAAACTCAGTCACGCGCGCACTAGGTGAGAGACATTCGTTGAACTACAAACGCAAAATTGATTTTCAAATGTAAAAAAAAAAATCATCACCCACAAATGTCCATTTTACACTATTTAAATACAATAGAGCTTTTTCCTTACATCTTAAATAAGTTTTCGTTATAAAACTGTCCCGCGATGAAAAGCCAGATGACGGCAAATACCAGATTTTATTCAAGTTACGTTCGACAAGTTGGCTTGGACAAAAAGAAAACGACAGAACCGCCGTAAACGGAAATTTGAAAAAAAGAAATTTAAAAAAAAAAAAAAAAAAAAAAAAAAAAAATAATGATTATCGTAGGAAAAAGTACAAACGTAAAGTTCAGCACGTAAATGCACATACATGTTATGTGTGAAAGATAGCCATACAGAAGGTAAATATGCATTGCTGTTTGCTTAACATTTTTTTTTCTTATGTATATATATATATATATTTTTTTTTTTTACTTAATCGCTGATGTTGCTGCTTGTCGTTTGTAAAAAAAAAAAAAATGAAGAAAAAAAAAATTGAATAATAAAAAAATTATAAACATCCACGAACGTAGGAGTCGTCCAAAAAGGAGAAAAAAAAATTACAAATAGACTTAAAAATAAATGTAAAGAGCGACCTGAAGGGCCTTAACATAATTATCCATTATCTTTTGTATCTTACGGAGATATGGGGCGAACTTATAGCTTTTTCTTTATCCGTCAAACAACCTAGCAAGTATTTGGTAAAGGCTAGGAGGCCAGAATTGCGAGGGCGCCGAGACCGACGGGGAACAATTAAGAATCAACTGGAGGTACTACACGGGTGTCAGGATTTCTAATAAGATTCGCTGTTGGTTCTCTGGTATTTGCATGAGTGTGAGGAAGGAAAGAGGGGATAAAAATAATGTATCGGCCCAATGCAACTCCGGCGAGGAGTCAACGACGTTTCTGTTTATGCTGTTAGGTTGTAGAGATCGGGAGGATTCATCCGACAGGTGTCGTCAACAATGCTGCTGCTATGCTACCAAATCACTCAAAAGTGGTTCGTACGAGAGGACTGCCGACGACGACGACGACGACGACGACGACGACGACGACGACGACGACGACGACGACGACATGGTTGCGGGCACACCATCGGGCTCCTCCACCTCCCTTCTTACTTACACGCGGCTCTCCATTCCTTCATTATACGTCGTCCTCGTCATCATCCATTTCAGCTTCTGCTTCTGCTTCGGCTTCGGCCTCAGCCTCCGCGTCATCCTCCTCGTCATCTGAAAATGACAAATATTAATAGTTTAAATATTGAGAATAGATACACTTTTTAATATTTATAGATACTATTGAACTGGTAATGTTCGGTAATGTTGTTACGTAAGTTAACATTGACGTTGATCGCTGTTTATTTTAAAATAAATGCTAATAAGCCGTCAAAGCGCATCGGATGAATTTAAACTTAACGAACCGTTGTTAACGAATATAATAATTTATGTGGACGAGAGCGAGCTTACTACGTGATAAAAGCAAAATCTCAAAGACTAAAATTATAACTGCTGTCATTTAGATAAATTTAATCTCAATCGTCGGTCCGTCTGTCTGCACATTAGTTTCGATAAATTCGTTAATATGCGCCACACACCTTCACCATCGTCCAGTTCGTCGTCGGGTTCTGGAATATCGTCCTCGTCTTCATCGTCTTCTCCATCGATATCTTCCACCTCTTCCTCGTCGGCTTCCACTTCGTCATCGACATCGTCTTCCTCTATTTCACCATCGCCATTCTCCTCCTTCTTTTGTTTCTTAGGTTCGTCATTCTTATCCTAAAAATAAATCATTGATATGTATTTATTAACCATGTAAATGTTTATTAATGTAATTTAAAAATTAACGAGTACAAAACATAGCACAGAGAATACCAAGTGAATTTCCATTGCAAAATATATATCGCGAGATCGTCTTTGTTTTACACTACCGAAAAAGCGTACAACGATATTGATTACGTACTTTCGGTAGCTCGAGCTATGATCTTTCATTTAATTCGCAAATTTCTGTTTTGCGAATGCCACTTGGTTCTCATTTAAAAACGGGGTATTATGAGGAAAAAAAATTAAAAAAAAAAAAAAATTTCCTTTCATTTTTCTATACTCCCGACAGTTCCACACGTGCTTTGTGTAATACGCGTGTCGTTTAATCTATAAATTAATTTTATTTATAGTTTGTTTGTTTTTTGTTTTGTGTCGAAATGAAGGGGGGGGGGGGGGTATGGCATGCCAACGTCCGCGTACTTTTATCCTTCCTTTAATAATAATGAAAGTCGGCATCCCACAATACTGTATATAATTGTGGCGCGCAGAGATTAATGGCCTAGCTTTTTATCCAATACGTGCGGTGAAGTTGGGAGAGTGAAATATTTAAAAGGAATTGGCAAGTACGCAATCGCAAAGTACAATTACGCTCAGAACTGCGCATGGTGGATATTAAAGATCGAGAGAGCCGGAAGTGAGAGAAGCGAAACCGGTAGTAAAGTAGAAGAAGCGTAAGGGAAGGGAATGACGAGACGGGAAACGTACGACTCGAACAGAAGGTCCTGCAACGTATGTATGTATATATCGGTGTGTGCATCAAGGGCGAAACCTAAGGAACGCGCGCGTGTGCATGAGCGCGCGTGCGAGAAAGACTCTGTGCTCTTCCCGCCACGAGCGCCACGAATTATGGAGGGGAAGCTACCCTCTTCTTCTTTCTTTCAATAGAGACAGAGAATCGGGGATCCTGCACCGGTCTGAGCCGGCAAGGACAAGCTGCGCGCCAAAAAAGGGAGGCGCAGCGGCAGAAAAGAGGACGGACAGAAAGGAGTGGCAGTGGCGGCGGCGGCGGCGGCGGCGGCGGTGGTGGCCGATGATGTCGGCTTGGATGGGTTTAGCTTAGCGCGTGTGGGGCAGGGACTAAAAGGCAGGCAGGCAGGCGGGCGCGCGCAGCGACAGCAGGCGCGCACGCACACGCCGGTGAATGGGTTATTCTCCTTCTTTTCAGTGACTGACGACGAATTTTCGTTACGCTCCCTCGGTGTTTCATTCGAACATGGTTTTTGTTCCGGGGCGAGTTCGCCCAGCTTCTGAACGATACGGGGCGCGCGCCCGACTTACAAAAGCATGCGACGCACACTCTCGTAATTGGCGAGTGTCCGTGTGGAAATTGGCAAATGGCTCGGGCTTGGAAGAGCGCGGCGAGATTGAAGTAAAGCAGCGTGTTCAGCTTTGTGTCATATGGCGATGGTGGGTGATACGCATTAAAATTTAATCCATGGTACGCTCTTGCGCAATGTCGCCGACAAGACGTATTCATAATATTATCTTAAGGAATGATGAGAATCATCAATTTTCCTGTATGACCGCGGCGTTAAGAGTTGTTTCATGACGTAGCGCGACGGTGGCTCGCTGTTGTAACGAGGACACAATAACAGCGATGATAGAGGATGACATGTGTCACGCGTCAGGGCACTTTATTATTACGGGAGGGCAATTTTGGCTTTGTGTCGTCGGCTAGCTGACAGCGAAATATCCTTTCGCCGAAATTCGCTCGATCTAGGCTCGATAATCGGAAATTATTCGATTGTCGCGCCGTGCGGGGATGTAAAATTGACAGAGGAGCGCGCGAACGAGTTCAGCTGGGGGGCTTCGAATCTAAGTGGTGAGGAAGGAGGAGGAGGAGGAGGAGGAGGTGGAGGTGGAGCCCCCGAGCTCTTGAAAGGTCTCGAGGGTAGAGAAACCGACGCGCGAACCCAAGATCGTGACGAACGTACCGCGGTGACAGGAAGGGTTGGGGTTGGGAGGGGGGGGTATATATGTACGGATAGTAAAAATCTAACTGGCTTTTCCATTCGATACGAACTGTACAAAAGTTCACTGCAGTTCAAGTTGTTGTTGTTGTTGTTGTTGTTGTGTTGTTTGAGTGCGTGTGCGTCCGTATTCACCTTTGTCGCTGACAATATCGGAGAGGAACTTGCATGAAAAGAAAGAGGGGTGACGAGGACGAGCGAGCAGCAGACTGATAGAAATAGAGATAGGCAGGCGGAGGGGCGGTGGGAGAGGCAGGCCATGAGCATAGAAGAGTAGTTCCCGAAGGGAAGTTGTGCCGAGAAAGAGTATAATATAAAGGGCGCGAAGCCGCGAATGAAGTAGGTGGAGGGAGGAGTTAAGCAGTGAGTTAGTAATCGAGGTTATGACGGGCCTTGTGCGTGCGCTCAATTCTCACGTCGGACGATGAGTTAAAAATTTCAATTAAAAACAACGTCATTTCGCATTATCGTGCAATTCAAAAGTATTCATAAACATTTGTCACGGTAATTCTTACTGTAAGCGCACTTACTATAACAATTGCTCAACATAACTTCTCGATGCTCGAACCATGAAATAAGAGAAAAGAGAGAAGAAAGGGAGTCGAATGAATATATAGCTAATTTAGGAGTTCGATCGTATCCAAAGTTAATTCAGTTGCGTAAAAAAGCCGACTCGACGTAATGACATTTAAAATAAAAAGAATAGAATTACAAGCAAACAAAGCTCTCGGGATACAACTCTGTAAAATATCGCAATTGGCAATCAATCTGCGTCAGTATGTAATACATTTTAAAGAAAAATCTAAATTTATTGAGATTCGAGAAATCGTCGCTTATGTCAGCCACTAAGCAGTAAATTCACGATGAAAAATAAGAATATTTAAGAAGAGAGTGCGTGTGTGCGTTGTAAGGTAAAGATGAAACATTTATCACCACGGCAAAAGATAAAAACTGTAATCTTTGATAATTTAATTATAAATTGCTTTGAGAATACGTTCGCTGAGAGAGCGAATGAGATGTAAAAATGTATCAATGTAAGCTTTCATATTTTATTTTTATAGAATACATCATGCTATTGTTACGTAAATCGAATGGTCATAACCAAACAAATTGTAGAGAATTAAAAATAATTTTTATTTTGTGCTAATGCGAAACCGTATGATTAGAGAGACGACAGGTATTTTAATTTCGATTATTCAATAATTTTCAGGCTCACCCGACAGACATTTAAAGGATTATTAAAGCCACCGAAATTAATAAATACTAATTTATGTCTATCTCTCTATCTCTCTCTCTCTCTCTCTCTCTCTCTCTCTCTTTAGGGAATTGGCAAATGACGGAACTGCTTCACAGGTTAATAAGCCGTACTTATTAAATCCCAAACTCACTATAAAACTTAAAAACTTATATAAAGATATTATAAATGTCGGTTAAAATTGCTCATATTTTTAGACGACGAGATTTGGTTTTGCTCTTTCACCACTATAGGAGAGAGACAGAGAGAGAGAGAGAGAGAGAGAGAGAGAGAGAGAGAGAGAGAGAGAGAGAGAGAACGAAAAGGAGGGCACACGGTAAAAGAAGGAAAGAATAATCGCCGGCTGAGTTTCGTTCAATGCAAGAGAAAGATCGATTCAATAAAATAAAACGAATGCCAAAAACCCATTGGAAATGAGTATAGGAAAACATTAAAGATTGCCAGCTAAATATTTATTATGGACAATTGTCAAATCGGCTTGCTTTAAAGTATTTATCGAGTCGACTAAATTTACCTCTAACCAAGGTTCTCTCGAGATATCCTCACCCCGATTAACAGCATACACACCCCCAATCATATATTCGGTCAAATTAAACAATTGCTTTAATAACAAAGACTCTTGTATTGCAATCGCACGTAAATCCAATCCTTAAAATGAATTTACGTTCCACATCTTATTGCATTACTCGTTAGTACTCGAGGAAAAATAATCCATAAAGGAAAAAATAATCTCGAAAGGAGAACGCTAACTACTACCTGAGCCCATCGGCTTTGGGGGGGGATAGGGACAATAAACTTAAAAATTCATTAGGAATGTTTCATCCATACGAGCCCATCAATTTATGCAACTATCCGGTCGAGCGAACGTTACAAAATTTACACTGTTGATAACGCATTCTCTTCGAGCTACGGTGTTTTAGGGCGCACGACGTTCTCGCGTTCCTTGCACTCCTTTACTTCGCGAAGGCTCCGGGCCCCACTCACGGCGGTGGCGGCGCAAACGTTTGCGAGTGAGCAAGCGATAGAGAGAGAGAGAGAGAGAGAGAGAGAGAGAGAGAAAGGATGACGAAGGGGCGACAGTGGCGTCGCCGCTTGACGACGCGACGGCGGCTCTTGGCCTCTGCTCGGCGCGGCGCCCACATATTTTCCATTTGCGCGGGTATTCCTCGCGCGAGAAACTAGCCGAAAGGAGCCACTGCCAATAATCAAGTCCATAACACCGACTGAGATAACCTACAAAACTTTAATCTCCCCTTACTGTTTCTCTACTGCCAACTTACAATCCACTTATACTCGCTCACATACTCTCTCTCTCGAACATTCGTAATGTACATAATCGTAATTCCGAGATTTGGCGGTGTATATCGGAATCGGTAAGAGCGCGATCGGTTATGCGAACGTCGTTGCTCCTCTTCCAACCAAATTGTCGGGAAAAGGAGGAAAGAGACGAACGGAGCGCAATGCAACGCCTCGTGTGTTACGAGAATATCCATCTCACTATCTCACTATCTATCTATCTATCTATCTATCTATCTATCTATCTATCTATCTATCTATCTATCTATCTCTCTCTCTCTCTCTCTCTCTCTATATATATATATATATATATATATATATATATATATATATATATATCGCTTCAGCGCCCGACCACCGCCGCAATCGTGCTCATTTTTCTTTCCAAGCCGGCGGTGGAGCGCCATCGATCGCCCCGAAAGCGAGAGGAGGCC